TCGTTTTGACCAGATAGGCAGGGTACAAACAGAATATATACATACACACACATCTATACACACACACCTATATACACATACATATACATACATACACACACATATATACACTCTGTGTGTACTCTGTATATGTATTCTGTGTGTGTGTGTGTGTGTGTGTATATATATATATATACACACACACATATATATATATACTGTATGTATGTATGCATATATATATATACTGTTTGTATATATATATGTATATATACACACTGTGTGTCTATGTATGTGTATATATATATATATATACACACACACAGAGTACATATATAGTGTGTGTGTATATATGTGTGTGTATGTATGTATATATGTGTGTGTATGTATGTGTGTATATGTATGTGTGTGTGTGTCCACATATACAGTATATAAAATTCCCCTATATACTGTATATAGAATTCCGCCATGTGGCATAGCTTTTCCCATTGAGACTAGCTCCATGTGGGAGAGCCAGGACTACATCTCCCATCTGGTTGCAATCATAATGGGACTTGTCATCCCACAGACGCACAGGAGGGGGGGATGGGCAAACAAGAGGCGTCCATTTCCCGCCAGAAAGAAAAAACTCCGCTCCGCTCCCCCCCTCCCCGGCTACCCCCCCGACGGGCCTCTGCGCAGGCGCTCCCCTGCGCCATAGAGACGAGGTCGGAAGAGGAGGGAGGGAAGGAGGGAGGAGAAGAAAAAAGGAAGAATCGGGCAGAGCGTCCTCCCTGGCCGTCAGGAGGGCGGTGCGCGCGCACGTGCGCGCCCGCCAACCCTTTCCCCCCACCCACCTCCCGTCCGCCTTAGTGAGCCGCCGCAGGGAGGCGCGTCGGCCTCCCCTCCCCTGGCTGCAGTGCTGAGCATGCGCACTCCGTCTCGGGAAGAAGGGGAGGGGCCTATTCCCTCGCCACACAGACGCGCACGCGCGCACAGATCTCTCTCTTTTTTTGCGCCTTCCCTCTTCTTCTTCTAGCGCCTTCTCTCTGTTGGGTCTTCCGCCGTCACGTGACACTCGGCGTCCCTCCATTGTGAGTGCGCGCGCGCGCCTCCCCGCGCGCGGCCTGTTGTCTGTGGCCCGCGTGCCTCCGCGCCTGCACTTGGGTCCCAACCACCACCACCACCACCTTTTTTTTTAGTGGTAGCCTCGCCTTTCCCTCGCCTTCTTTTACGGCAATTTGAACCGCCGCGCTTCCGCCATCTTCCTTCAGCCCTCAGCCCGCCCAACGGCTTCGCGGAGGGGAAAAAAAGGGAGAAGAAGAAGGAAGGAAGCCAACGAACGAACGGACGAGCCCGAAAGGCGACGAGAGGCACGACCCTCTTTAATCACCTCGCCGCCTTAAGAGGGTCGGGGAGGGAAGAAGAAAAAAAGGGGGAAATAAAGGAAAGCACCACAGCGCGCGCGCGTGTGTGTGAGGAAAAGCGGAAAGGTAACGGAGGAGGGAGAGGGAGGGAGGGAGGGAAGGAAGGAAGAAAGAAGGGCGGGAAGAAAAGAGGAATGAGGGGCTCTGAGGGAGGCATCGGGGTGTGTGTGTGTGTGAGAGGGGAAAGAATGAGGAGGGGAAAAGGCTCCGGCGCGGACTAGGCCGCGGGAGGCGGATTCCCCTCATGGAAGAGAGAGAGAGAGAGGAGGGGAAAGAATTCCCACAGAGAAGGAAGCCGCCTCAGGAAGAGAAGGAGGAGGCCTGGCCTTGGAGTTCGGGGGTTGGGGGGAGGGAGAGAGAGAAGGGAATGGAGAGAGAGAGAAGGAAGGCCCACAGGGCGGCCGCCGCCTTCCACGCGCCAGGCTCGGTGGGGGGAGGAGGGAGGGGAGGCCGCGGCGGTTGGGAGGCGGTTTGCGCCCGCGGAGAGAGGGAGGGAGGGGGCCATTTTTGAGGGGGGAGTCAGTGTGAACCTCGTGTGGGGAAGGCGGGAAGGGGAGGGGGGCGCGCCCGGGCTTTGGGGCTGCGTCGTCCAAGTGGGGTGTGTGTATTTTTGGGGGGGGGAGAGAAGCGCTTTCCCTTGTTTTCTCCCGCCGGCCGCCCGTCCCTCCGACCGGCCTGCCCCGATTCGGCTGGGCTGTGGACGGAGGTTGGTTTTAAAACAAAATAAGAGGGATTTTTTGGGGCGAGGAAGGACGGACGAGAGAGGCCTTTCCTGCTCCGAATCGAAGCCTGTTCCTCGATTTCGCGGGTAAATAAATTAGTTAGATTTGGGTGGTTTATAAGGGGTTTGTAGGGAAATACACAATCCAAACGTTTCGTGCCTGTACTGTATGTGTGGATACATCTATACAGATGCTTGTGTGTAGATGAGACGATGGATACCTTTTTATATTATGAATGGCTCAGCAGAATTGGGAAGGGAAAAAAGCGGCTGGCGGGAGGGAACCCAGAAGGGAGGGGAAAATCACGTACTGTATATTATTCGTACTCAAGATCTAGTGTTGAATAATATATGTTAAGAGTACCAGCCTCGCACACACAGCAAGGTCGTGTATGTGTGTGTGTGTGTTGGCTTTCCCCCCCACTTTTCCCTTCTAGGGTTTCCCCTGCCCTTTTTTTTTCCCCCAAAAGCTGCTTTTTAACCCTTTTTAAACTTCTCCTGAGCCGTTCCTCCTGTTTGGAGAAGGGGTTGACAGACGAGGTGGAAGGGCGGTTGGTTTTTTTAAAAAGGGGGGGTTATTGAGAGACAGATGAATGGGCTGGGCCGCCATTTAGGGCCGACTTCCTTCCTCCTCCCTGACCCGGATGGAGAGGCCACCACGCGCTTTTTTTGGCGGCCCCTCCATGAGTCGTCGCTCCTTCCTCCCTGGATCACGCCTCTTTTCTGGCTTTCTTCTCTTTAGACGCAGCATGGCCGCCCCGCAAGGAGAACCCCAAGTGCAGTTTAAGGTAAGAAGGGAGAAGCAAGGCCAGGGAATGCCTTTCTCTGCCCTCTTAGATAGTCTTCTTAAAAGTTAGCCTTCTCGTTTTGCACCTCTTCCAGCTTTTTTTCCTGTGTGGCACTGCTGAACGAGGCCTGGGCTCAGAGCGCCCTTTGTTAGGCTGTGAAGCCACAGGAATGCTCCTCGGGTGAGGAGATTTACACATCCAATCTCAACCCTGCTTTTGGTGTTTATTGAACTCCAGATTGGGATTGGTGACAAGGAGCTTGGTCCTCTGTGTGGTTTCTCTGAAAAAGGACCTGCCACGTTTTCCTTTGGGTTTTAATTTTCATATTTCTGTATGTCCAGGCTTATGTTTATGGACTTTGTTTTTTAAGACTGCTGTGTTTTGAGTTCATTCAGGAGGCAGTTTAGCATTTTAAATCATATTAACAATATGGTATTTGCATTAAATTATACATGTATTTATTTGTTGCTCATTTGTGATACGTATATATTTTTCCAATGTGTTCAAGAGGGCATATATGACTTTTTTTCCCCACCACTTTTCCATCATGGGAAGATAATCAGGCCAAGAGTGTTTTAAAATCACTTTTGGTTTTATGACTCTGAAATCACAGTTCAGCAACCTAGTAGCCATGCTTTTTCTTTTGATTTCAATCCAAAAGTTGAATTTTTGTCATCAAAGTTTGTTCTATACTACTAATGTGCTAATTAATTCTCATTCATGAAGCTTCCTTTAGCAGAAAGTCGATGTGAGCTTCTAGGTTTAATTGGAGAGAACTTGGGGATAGTTTCTAAGCTTTCATACTCTGACCTATGAGGAAAACCAAAAACGGGTAGTGTGCAGGGTAAAAAGACAAAATCTGTTTTTACTCTTATTACCATAAGCCCCGCCCCCATATTGACAATATAAGAGGTGCTGTCTAAAATATCTGGGGGGTATTAGGTTGATTTTCTTAGTGTCCACACTAGAGAGCTTTCTTTGAATTAAACCCTCAAAGGCCAGTGTTTTATTCAGACTTATTTTTTCAATGCTAACTGTAACTTTCCATGAGTTCCAGGTGAAATGTCATTCCGCTCACCTTGCAGCATACAGTCTTGCCCAGTTTAATATTCTGTCCATTTTAGAAGAGCAGGTGGGGCTTGCTTTTCCAACTTGGTCTAGCAGATTTTTGGTCTGTAGTGTGAACACCTTACAGTATGTCCATCTGTCATATATTTTGAACTGTAGCTTCTGGTAGGATGTCTGGAATTACTCCAGAGTAAATGGTTTGGGTTTATCTCCTAGGTGCGCTCACTGAATCTTTGGTTCGACATTACTGGCTTGATGTCACTTGGCTTATCCTAGTCTAGCGCTGTAATGACTGGTCCCTGTTGGTTAGATAAGCACTTTTTAAAAATTTGTGACATTGATATAGGTAGACAACTATATGGTGCAGTTTTCTTTTTTAAAAATTAAACTTTGTTTTTCAATAGCTTGTTTTGGTTGGTGACGGTGGTACCGGAAAAACAACATTTGTAAAACGTCATTTGACTGGTGAATTTGAGAAGAAGTATGTAGGTATGTTGGCTGTTTTCTGTATATTTTAGCTTGTGTAAATTTTAGCCTCCTCCTTCAAATAGATTTCCTGAGTGTTTTGCAATAAGTTTTGCTTCCTAAAGCTCCCCATGTAAGTAAAAATGACCTGGAGCTAAAAGGAGGGTTCAGGTGGAAATGAATAGCAGCATGGCAGTATAAGCATCCTTTGGAGAAGATAAAGCATTGGACTAAGTGGACAAATAGTTTCTTAAAATCATTCTTTAAAAATAAATGAAGTTTGAATAAGTACCGCTGTGCAATTTAAATGTGTTGCCCTATATTCCCAGCTGAAATATAGTTTGTAAGGAAAGGCTGTGTGGTCTTTCACCTTTTCATGCACCATACCAGCTAAGATTTTATATAATTGCAGCCACCCTTGGAGTTGAAGTCCATCCTCTGGTGTTCCACACTAACAGAGGCCCTATTAAATTTAATGTGTGGGATACAGCTGGGCAAGAGAAGTTTGGAGGTTTGCGAGATGGCTACTACATCCAAGGTAAGATGTATGAACAGTGTGTGTGATTGCCGAAAGCAGACATGTGCCTTCCCAGGGTCTAAAGTATCAGTGATTTAATTGCCCCAACTTGTGGTTTTCAGAGTACAAGCTGTCATTGTTGTTTTTTTTTAAAGGGCATATTTGCCTGGAAGCATGCTTATATTGGACTTGTGCTAGTTTGTTTACAAGGTATTGGAAATAAATGTTTCAGAACATCGATGCATATGTGCCTTCCTTGTCACCATGCACTTGTGCTAAAGTTAATTTAGTATTCTTAAGGCGATTGACTGTAGCTTGGTGCATCTGGTTTTTTGGTATATTATTCTATAGTATCAGAATTTGAGTTTTGAAAGTTCTGTGCATTACCCAGAGGTATTGCTATTAACATCATAAATTTTCAACTTCCAGCCCAATGTGCCATCATAATGTTTGATGTAACATCAAGAGTTACATACAAGAACGTACCCAACTGGCATAGAGATCTGGTACGGGTGTGTGAGAACATCCCCATAGTTTTGTGTGGCAACAAAGTGGATATCAAGGACAGAAAAGTCAAAGCAAAGTCTATTGTCTTTCACCGGAAGAAGAATCTGCAGGTAAGAAAACTGGGTTTTCTTCATCAAGAGAGCCTATTTGAAACTAGGATATATAAAGTGTCTTTTCCTGCTATTCTGCTTTTTATCATATTTCTTGCCTTTACGTAGAATTAAGGTCTCTTACGTGGGTAGTCTCCAGTCAGTTGAAGGGGGATGATGGTAATACAGTGGTATCTCGCAAGATGATTACCCCACAAAACGTTTTTTTCGCTAGACGTTGACTTTTTGCGACTGCTATAGCTATTCGCAAAACTATGTTTCCTATGGGGGATTTCGCTGAACGATGATTTGGTCCATGCTTAGCTAATATAATTGTATCACTGATGTGTTCTTCGCAATTTTAAGTCTGCTTCTCAATTTGCATCTGCAGCTTTATTCAGAACGAGATACATTTTCTTAGGCTCTTTAAAGATAGTTTCCTGTGGTATAACCTTTAGTGGACTTGAGCCTACTTTGTCAGATGTGGGAAGCATATCTCTGCTAGCGGGTGGAAAGAACTCAGTATATGATGCATACACACAGTTGAAGAGAAAGCATTCCAGATACGTACAGGAGATTCTCATTAGGATAGGAAACTCAGTGAAGTATCTGGGACATAACTGTGCAATGATTCAGTATATACAAGACAAAGGAGGGTCTTTACAGAATGGAGTGATGTTCATATGGCATATTGCCACTCAGGATAATAGCAGATCTCAGTAATTAAGTCTTGTACCAGAATAAAATTGAATGTTTTTAAAAGACGCCATAAGATTCTTGTTTTCTGTTGTTGACAGAGGGTTGTCTCCAGAGAGATCCTCAAAGCCCGTTCTCTCTTCTTTCTTTTTTCTCCCCTCTTCAGTACTATGATATTTCAGCCAAGAGTAACTACAACTTTGAAAAGCCTTTTCTTTGGCTAGCAAGAAAGCTGATTGGCGATCCCAACCTGGAATTCGTTGCCATGCCTGCTCTTGCACCACCAGAGGTTGTTATGGATCCAGCCTTGGCAGCACAGTACGAGCAAGATTTACAGGTACTCTGCTCAGAAACCACTGGCCTTGCCTGCCTTCGTGATGCTGTGTTCAGCGTTTTTAAACCTTTCCCCCCTCCCCTCCTTTTTTCTCTCCTAGATTGCTCAAACCACTGCACTGCCAGATGAGGATGATGACCTGTGAGGGAGTGAAGCTGGAGCCCAGCGTCAGAAGTCTAGTTTTATAGGCAACTGTCCTGTGATGTCAGTGGTGCAGCGTGTTTGCCACTTTATTATTCTAGCTGAGCAGAACATGTGCTTTAATCTTTGGGATGCTGAAAGAGAAGTGGCTGTGGAGTGAATGTGGCAGTTTAAAAAAAAAATTCCTTCATTTTGGACCGCATATTTAGCTGTTTTGGACTGCAAATTTACTCCCCATTTGAGTTACAAATCTGACTGCTGCAGTCGCATCACAGTATTCGGTGGTAAATCTTGTTTGTTACTGTCATTCCCATTCCTTTTTGTTTAGATCATAATAAAGTTGTATTTCAAATATCCAAGCAAGCGACTCGTCATGAATTTAAGGGTAAATTTTTGGAACCCGGACTGCCTGCGTCAAAGTGGGACAGCACTTTTGAATCCTAAGTGGGCAAAGACTTGACCAGCTTATACCTAGATTCTCATTTCAGAAAAAACTGCAATGTGGTGCTGGGTTCCCACAATCATGTTTTTTCTGAATTTGATGTCAGTTTTCCATCGTAGGGAGAGATTATTTGATTTGTCTGCTTTGCTAGTATCACTTGGCAGCAGCTGCCCAATATTCATGGCTTTTCATTGAGCAGGGGTTAAAATAAGATTGAAATAAATTGTTTGGTGAATGGACTGGCAGATGAAATCAAATATCCTTGTTGGATTTAAGATGATTAGCTTGGGTTGTGGCTGCTTACTCTCACTGAGTAAACGTAACAGTCTTGAGCCTAATTCTCCTTTAGGTGCTAACCTTAGAAAATTGCTGTGGCAGAGTGAAAGATCGATAAGAGTTCAATATTTTGGACAGTTCTACTGGCAGGACTTGAGTGCTTCTTGGCAGTTGGGGTAGATGCCAGAGTTTGATAACTAAGTAATTTAAAAACATGTAAACAGTGGTAGTCCATTGGATTCATTGTAAAAGATCTGCTTGGGGCTGGATACTTAATTATATGTGAGTTCAGTAAAACTTTTAATAGCTGCAGGCTACACAGGAAAAGATACTCTTTCTTTGGATTATTTGAAAAGATGAATTAAAGTATATCAGTAGTTTTCCTGACATTGTAATAGCAGATATTATGAATGGAAAAGCAGGCAACTTTATTGCCATCTCGAACTATGACATATGACATCTGCAATATTTGCCTTTTAGATCTTCCATTATTTCTGCCTAACATTACTTTGAAATTTGTTTTAGTACATTCAGTAAGTTCTCTTTGGAGTAGATCCATAGAGCTGCATTAAGTTCATATGAGGCAACATGACAGCATGTATCTAAACTTTTTAATTTAAGAAGTGGTGAAATCAATTCTTAATCTTTTGCCCAATTTCTCTGTTGTAAATAGTATAGGATTTTAGTCCCACTCTGCTCCTGGGTGGCATAAAGCATATTGCCTTAAGTTGCTGTTGGATAATATAGGCTGGAATCCTGTTGTAGAACTTGGATAACATAATCAACTATGTCCATTGGCAGTTTTCAGGCATTAAGAGATTCCTTCCCCCCCTCACTCCGCCTTCTTGTTTCCCAGAGTCTCCCCCACAAAGCACAGGATCCCAGGAACCTGAGAGTGGGGGGAAGTAGAAAACCTAATTCTTCCAAACGCCTATGCTTGATAAAATCACCTGAGTTGTGAGGCATGAAGTTGCACAACAAGATTCCAGCCAACATCTTTTTAATATGTGCTTGGGTTGAAGTTCTGAAGATGGTCACTGTAAATACTTGATTAGGATGGATCAAGTTACCTCTCGTCATGTTGGATTGCATGGGGTGTCGGTTTAAAAAAATTGAGAACCTTGGTAATATAGTATATAGCTTAGTAATAACTGCTGTGGGAGAACCTATAAACATTAAAGATGAGGACCAACCAATTGGCTGATTTTATTCTTTAGTTATCTGAAGGACTAAACATGAATTTTAAAGTTTTTGTGGAGTAGAATCCACTTGCTTCATAGGCCTTCAGCGTTGCACTCTGTTGACGTACACTAGTGTGATATTTAAAAATGTAAAAAGGACTATGGCATTGGGGACTCTGCCAGGATATGGTGAAAATGCCTTTGTTGAAATCCCCAGTTGTCTACTCTTAGGCTTGGAGGGCTAAACTTAATTTTAGTCCCGACAGGGTTAGGCCTGTTGAAATCAACAGAACTTCTATAAATGGTGGCTTATCCTTTTCTATGCAAAGGTTCCGCTTTTTTAAAAGAGTGAAAATGAATTTGGGCTTGAGGAAGCAATCTCTTTAATACTAAATGCTTGAAATATGGGCTTCTAACAGAAGTATTCTGAAAAAGAATAAGAAGGCTCAGAAATAAACCACAAGAGGGGAAGAGAGATGGCCACCCTCACTTCTGCTTGCTTTTTCTGTGTGCTACATATTTCAAGCATTACTTTTGCACTTAACAGCAACGCAATATGCAAAAATTGGGTAGTGATTTGTTTTCAGGAGTGTAAACAGTGTAGGGGACACATCACCCACTGATGTCTTTTGGAGTTGCTAACGGACCGGGAGTGTATGAAATGGCAGCCTGACTTCAATTTACACTTAGTGAAGCATTGCCCAGGTATGGCGTGGTTGACTTGTGATTACCTGTTTCTCCGCAGCCCATGGTGGATGGCATCCCTTGCTACGTGAGGTGGATGTTGAGATGGGTGTCAGCCAAAGCTTCATTTTGGGTTGTTCCTAGCTCCTGATCAGGGGAAGGAAAGCAACAGAAGTGAAATTAAGCAATACAGCGGATAAGAAATGTGTTTTCAAATGTGGCTGCCCCCTATGAGAGAAGCACATGGAGCAGGAGGCCACACCTGTATATTCCTCCAAAGGACCTTTTCCATGCATTGATGCTGCTCTGCGTTCAGAAGATACCTCAGCTACATTTAGGGAATAACATAGTTCAGGAAGAAAGGAATAATGAGACCCATAAACAAATCTCCAGCGTATCCGCTGTGCTTTCCACTCCGATATTTTCAGTCCTCTGCTACCCACAGACATAGCACGAGCACTGTGTTCTGTCCTCACAGGCCTTGCTGAAACTTTGGTTGCAAAGGGTACAGTCACACATGCCAAAAGAACCCCAGTTCTATTGATTCTGCTGTTTAATTAGTTTAATAAATTCCCATTCACACGACACATGGGTAACATCTATTCATTTGACCAGGTGATCTTTCCTTTTAGCCTGCCTTTATAGCCCCAAGTTCCAAAAGGTCCAATATGGAGAGTTAGTGCAGGGAAAGCGCCGCAGAGGGGTACCACAGCTGCGATACAAGGATATCTGCAAGTGGGATCTGAAAGCCTTAGGAATGGACCTCAACAGATGAGAAACCCTGACATCTGAGCGTTCAGCCTGGAGGCAAGCAGTTCATCACACAGGGACAGATTGCATTTGTCTTCAGTGTGAAAGGGATGGCCACTCTCGAATTGGCTTTCTCAGCCACACTAGATGGCGTTCCAAGTCCTCTATTCAGAGCACGTTACCATAGTCTCTAGAGACTGAAAGATGCCTACATTTTTCCCCCTCGCTGGCATGACTTCATTTTTTTAAACAATCCAATTTCTGCATTGCTTCAACCTTACTGTTTCAATGTGCTTGAACGTTGCTGTCGAGTTACTTTCTTTGCAAACAAATTCAGGTTAGGGCGCACCATGGCCACCCCATTTGAATCATTAAAGATTAAAATGCTTAGCGATAAATCACATTGTCTTATATATATATATTTTCACAACAGTTTACCAATGTATCGCATAGCCGATGTATACCCCCATTTAGTCTTGTATCACTTATGAGCTGTTTAAAAAGAAAATTTAGGGTAGTGGGGATCCAGAAACAGGATGGAAAACAAATCAATTTCTATGGGATGGCACACATAGCCTACAGAAGTGGTACAAATAGCAAGAAATATACGTATTGAATGGGCTGTGTGAATGGGCCTAGTGGTACATATACCGTGTATGCATACAAATACTGTACAGTATATCAGTATTTTAAAAGGAGGGCAAAGGAATGATTCAAGTGGTCCGTGTGATTTGGCACTTAGTTTGTGTTCAGGTTTTTCACCTTCAACCTCTGTTCCTCACCTGCCAACAAAGAGGCTAGTCCTCAACACTCCGCAGTGCTCCTGAGGAGCTGAGTATGTATGATGTCGTGGAGAGTGTAATGGATTAGGGCTTGGGAGATCTGGGATTCAAAAGCCGGCAAAATTCGGCAGGGTGTACAGTGGCCACTCCTTGAACATCTCCCTCCAAACATCCTCTTGAGGTCAGAAGCGACTTGATAGCACAAGCTTTAGGAAGAACATCTCATCGATTTAGGAGGAGTAATAACAGATTAGAAAACCATGCAGCAACGGTGCTTTGGGGAAGGAAATGTGACCTTAGAGAAGACCCAGGAGGGATGAACTGGGAGTGAAGGGCGTGAGGTTCCACCCCTCTGTCTTTGGAGAATGATGGGCATCTCTCTACAGTCAGGTTTCTTGGCCCGGCTTTTTCTATTTGGAAACGCTTGCCGGGAGCAAATTTGTGGACAGATGGCCTGATTCGGCGCCGTCTTTGCCCTACAGTAGGCATCGCTTTGCGTCCTGCTGCTAAAAGCACTTATCTCCGTGCAGGCTCCGGTTCCCACTCTCATTGAGAATATGTTGATGGTGTTTCCAGAAGGCCACACAGGGGTGCTGTGCATCCATGCAAGCTCGACTTAGTTTTGCAGATCAAAGCTCCGCAACATTCCTTTTAGCCTGCCTTTTATAGCCCCGACGTCTTACAACTTGAAATAAAAAAATCTTACCTTGCACCCGGGCGGGGGGGCATCATTTATTTTTTATTTATTTCTTTAATTTATATATATATACCCCCACCCCCCATTTGTGTGACACCTTATTCTGGGTGGCTTGCAACGTGCTGAAATAAAACCCAACCGCAATAGAAACAATGAGACAACAAGCAATGCACAGGTTTCAAGGTAACAGGTGGGACACGAGGCATAAAATCGGACAGAGATGCAATGACATCTCCGGGCTGCAGAGCTAGAAGAGATCCTGTGTACAGTGGTGCCTTGCTAGATATTTGACTTTTTGCGATCACTATAGTGATTCGCAAAACAGTGATTCCTGTAGGGGAATTTCTCTGGACAATGTTAGCAAACCAATTTTTGCTAGACAACAATTTTGACAGCTTTCTCCGTGCTCGCAAAACGGGTGTTTTCAGGACCTCCGTGCTCGCAAAACATGTTTTTGCAAGACTGCTATTTAAACAGCTGATCGGCGGTATGCAAAGCGGCTTTCCTATGGCCGATCTTCACTAGACAACGACAATTCTTCCCCATT